TATATATATATATATATATATATATATATATATATAGCAAAAAGATACCAATAGCTTGGGACCTACAATGAATAATAATATAGGTGGAATCCCAGCCATCAGATCTTTCATTGAGTGGTTCAAAATACATGTCACTATTTGAATTTTAATATTTTTTTTTAGAAATAGTATCGTGATAAAGTTTTGGATGTGTATTAAAAATAGGGTGCACAAGAAAAAAATATAAAACAAATATTTTTCAAAATACAAAATGACGAAAATATCCCTTAAAAATGATAGGGGTGATTTGGTCATTATAAATTCTTGAAAGTATTTTTTTTATATTTTATATGATGCATGCTTGTGTCAAGTATATATACCCTAAATTTTATTTCGATTTGATTTCTAGAAAAAAGATTAAAATTCAGATGGTGATATGTATTTTGAATCATCTAATGAAGATCTAACGGTTGAGATTTCACCTATATTACTATTTTTTTATAGGTGCCACTTTTTGGTAGCTTTATCTTTTATATATATATATATATATATATATGAAGATCACAATCTTCTTTCAAAATGTTACCATCTCTCTTTCTTGTGCTGTTGGATGGTATCATTTGTTTGATATAATCGACTTATGCCAAACCACTGATTTGTTGAAGTTGCCTGTTGCTGAGTCTACACCAAGAATCAAGGCTAGACATGAAGCAACTTCTCCTGCTGGTCCATTAAAACAAGTTGCAGAAGATGGATCTTCTAGTAAGCCAAAGTCAAGGCCACCTTCATCCAGTCTAGTAAGAAGAATTTCTCCTCCGCAGATGACAAAACCTATAGATCAAGAAATTCCAAGCCCTGGAGTAAATGCTATCAATTGTGCCCCAAGGGAGTTCAATCAAGCTCCTGAAAAGATTTCCACAGAGTCAAGTAAAGGAACACTAATAGATCGCAACAGTCCAAAAACATCTCCAAATCCAACTCACGATTTTGTTACTAGGTTAACCCAAAAGGATTTACAGAGTAACCAAAATCAGTCGCACAATATGCGAAACCAAAAACAGTGTGTTCTTCGAACAGAGAATTTGGAAATCCATCCTCTTGGACCTGAGACTTCGTCTGACGTAAGCCATGGATCCTTATCTTCCACTACCCAGAATCTTGAGGACAATGGAGAAGAAGAGGTTATTCAGAGAGACAACCAAGGAATTCTTAACAGGAGAGAAAATCAAGAAGTCGAGCCAAGTGAAGGCCCCATTTCTCTCTCTAACCGTGACCAGGAGTGTCCTCACAAAGATGAGCTCTCGGTAAGTGGACCCAGTAGGGTGGACTTAACATCTGACTCCTCCATTTCAACACCAATTGGGGACGATAAGTTCACAGTGAGAGAGCTTCTGTCATCGATAACAGAGGGTTCTTCTGGTCCGGTCTTGACCCCCCAAACAAACCCACACTTTGATTTTGAACAGAGCGGAACTAAGAAGTGCCCTTCTCAAGACCAAATCATTGAGAAGCCAAAACCTGTTGCCAAGTCGGCATTTGATGATGTAATCCATGTTATAAGGCACAGTAGTTTTAGAGTGGGGAGCGAGCAGCCAATTATGGAAACTGTTGAATTGGGGGTCCAAAATATGGATGTGGGAAAATTACTAAATGTAGTGAGAGAAGAGGGCGAGGTTCGAAACCAGGGAAATTTGAAGCCTAACTGTGTAGAAAGTCACAAGGAAGAGAGTTCCATGAAAGAAGCTCTTGATGTGAAGTCTTACAGACAGAGGGCAGATGCTTTAGAGGGCCTTTTGGAGCTTTCAGCTGATTTACTTCAACAAAACAGGTTAGATGAGTTAGCTGTGGTGCTCAGGCCTTTTGGTAAGGACAAGGTTTCTCCAAGAGAGACTGCAATTTGGTTAGCTAAAAGCTTGAAGGGGATGATGCAAGATGACGGAAACAGTGGGCGCTCTTCTTGAGTCTCTTTTTCTTTATTGTCTAGGTATGTTACCAATTCTCCATAGCACCTCGTTGCTGGGTAATAAAATCTTTTGTTGCACTAGAATGAGAGGTCTGGTTGTCCCCTCTCTCTCTCTTGTTCCCCATTTTTTGACTCAATGGTCAGTGTCTGATCATGGTTTAGTGAATGAGAAAATTCTCATTGTTGTTTAGATGTGTCTTGTTAAATATATTTTGTTAACTAGCAAATGTATTAATGAAAGCAAATTATTTTTAGTCACGCTGTCTTCTGATGAAAAGGTTTAAGGCTAAATTCTTCAAGTGATCTCAAATCTGTTTCACTATATCAATGGCACATGAAATTTTAGCACTTATTTTTATTGGGCATAATAACATTATCTTTTTGTATCAGTGGGGCTTACTGATAGATGGAAATACCTTATTAGGCCAAGTAAATGATTCATAGGCTATCAATTTTAACCCCATGGCTTTGGGTAATATATGGTTTAAACAATCTTCTAACCATACTTCTAATTTGGCCTAGTTTTGGTTGTGATCAAAACCGCTTGCTGGTCTCTATTGATCCTCGACTATGGTTTCACTTGTTTATGTAGATTAATGGTTTTCTTAAGGTGTTAAGTGAGAATGGTAGCTTAGACCACAGTTGGGGCTCACGGGTGCTACCGCCACAACCCCAGCGCCATTCTCGAGGGTTAACTTGATTATGGAGTTTCAATGAACCAGATCTGAACTGATAAACCAGCCTTTCTAATTAGAACTAAAACCCTAGCTAGTCCATTCTTTTGGTTGTAAGCCTGACTTGTAACGAAACTTTTTTTACTCTAACTTAAACATTGGAGAATCAAGAAATTATAAGTAACTGTTTCTGATTTCTGGAGTCTACCGTGTTTATCTGAGTTTTCCCCATTGTGTGTTTAAATGTTTTTTTGAATTAGCATTCTTAGATGTCCCTTAGAAACAGAATCGAGACAAAGCAGTCCAAATTGGTTTGGATTCGCTGATAAACTGTTTTGCCTATAAATCCAATCTTGCGAGGTAATGCAGAGTGACTGAGTCCCATAGAAATGGGCCATAACTATGAGAATTCTAGTCTCTTCATAAATCGTGGCAATAATATGTCAAAGCCAAAAAATTGCATGAAGTTCCTCTCCATTGAATCTGAACCCAAAAATTCTATTTAAGAAGAGAGGGGATCTCTTAGGCTTCCCCCTTTAATTTTAGTGATGTCTATCAGTCCAATTTATAATACAACTATAATACAACACTGACTTGGAAGAAGTTTCTATCATTATAGAAGGTTTTCTTAGATTCATCTTGGACCATGGGAGAAAACTTTAGCCAGTCCCTCTTTGTCCTTCTCTTAAGATGACCAGTGTGAACTTGAATTGGTCAAAGTTAAAAATCAGATTGCGTGTTTTCTTGAACTTAGTCACCAGTTTCGTTGAGTGTTGCCATAGGTGCAATAACTGTTTGGCATACAAACTGCCCCTTCAATCGTTGTCGTAGCTCTGCAAGCCTCTTCCTATTCTGATACCTGACCTGGCATACAAAATTGTTGTGAGAGAGATGGAGAGAGAGGGATTATAAGAATGCTGGGTTTCACTCAAAAGAGAGAACAAAATGGACATAAGATTTTCAGATGAAAAAGATCAAGATTATGACATAGGATGATGGAGTTAGAATCTAATTAAGACAGCATGGATGAGAAGGCACAAGCATATTAGCTCTAGTCATTTTACAGGGTAACTAGATCTGCAGGAAGAGAGAGAGAGAGAGAGAGAGAGAGAGAGAGAGAGAGAGAATTTGAAAAAATCAACAGGTTCTTTATCAACAGGTTCTTTAAGGAAGAGGCAATGGCTCATAGAGAAACATGTGAGGTATATCTCATTCAGTTATCTAAGTGGAAGAATGTCATACTCTGGCTGTTTTGTTTTACAAAATACAGAAATGCAATCAGAATGTACTCCAGGAATTGAAATTTTTGGACAACAGCTGGATAACTGTTTAGAGAGGAACAAAAGTTAATGTCAAATTATCCTAACAAAATTTACATCACAGCAACCAATCTCATGCTGGAAATTTCTTGGAAGATCCTTATAACTCCCAAAATTCCTTGAAAGATTTCAGCTATAGTAAAATTGGTGAAGATTTTTAAAATAAAAATAAAAAAGCTCAGGATTTCTCACCAATTACTCAAACAAGAATACACACACATACACACATGTGCTCACTCACTCATCCAAGTAGCATAAGGATTACCTTCTTCTTGAAACACCTATCCTTTCGTTTCAAGTGAAATTTGGTCAAGACAGCCTCTCGTCTAGCAAACAGATCATGATCCCCACCACCCCCATCGATATTCCAAACCCCATAATCATCATTTCCATTCTCCACATTTCCTCCTGTATACATAGCAAGAGTCATGTCATTGTTGTTTGATTGCTCTCATCATGCCCAAGTTTCCCAGTTTCATTGGTCAAGCCACCATTGTTTGGTTGTTGGACATTAGAGTCCAATTCCATGTGCTTTTCTTGGTTTAGTAGCCAATCTTATAGGGGTTATAATTCTTGTAAGAGTTAGAAGCAAGGATTTGATCCAACTGATCAGGAGGATTTGCGTTGGTAAATTTCTCTTGGGTTGTAGAGCTCT